TTGGAAGGTTCCAGGAACCCTGGCAGGACGTTCAGATCCGAAAGTGGTCTCTCAGGTGCCGCCCCAAACAGGTAACCAAATTCTCTCGGGTCATACCTTGGAGCCACCCAGTCCACCCCAAGACCCGCTGTGGATGCAATAAGGGCCTCAAGCACAGCACTTACTGGATGTAGGGTTTTCCTCCCCTCTTGGGATCCCTGGAGGCCGAGGGTCCAGGGGCACAGAGAAACGCCGATTAGCCAGAATGGGGCAGGTCAATAAAGGTCTGGTGACTGGCTGCGGGTGGGCAGGCAATGCATCCTCACAACTGCTCCCTGAGCTCCCAGCAGCTCCCTAAGGAGTTCAGGCCTTCCCACCCTTCCTCCTCTCCGAGCCCCTGTGAGCCTGCCCACGCGGGCTTGTGAGGGCATTGCCACCAATGGTGCAGACCCTGTTGGTAGATGTTAAACGAAACCCCGAAGTCCACTGAGGGCCCTGGCTGCAGACACTCTGGCACCCCACTGACACCCCCCCACCTCCCCCCAGACACAGGACAGCCGGGGAGAGGAACACAGTTCAACCAGTTCCAACGTGGGAACCAGCTAGTTAGTTAAAACGCACTCCCTGTGCCTCAGGTACAGGCTCAGGGCTGGGCATCCCCACCAAGGAGCCCTTCTTAGTCTTACAAAGTCTTGTAAGACATATATTTAGGCCTAACTTTTAGCAACAGGCTATTTATAATTCTATCGTTAAAAAAAAATAAATGAAGTAAAAGGCCTGAGGGTCAGTCTCTAAAATGTACCACCTCAGCCCACACCTTGGCTTCCCCTGAGGGCCATGTAGGGTTCTGGAGAAATTCTTTAAAAACCCGGAGGCCAAGGGCAGAGTGGAGTCCATGTGGGGCCTTGGTTCTGTCCCCACACCCTGGTGAGGGGACGGGATGACAGAGCCCCTCATCCTCCATTGTTCCCATCTGACCAGTTTGGGACACAGGTCAGTTTTACCCGTATTCAACTTTGTGAGCACACGAGTCCTCAGAGAGTTGAGTAGTAAAAAGCCACACATCACAGGCAAAGAGAGTTACAAAACTGCGCTCAGGGCACAGGGGGCGGAATCCACTCATCCCTTGGTTTTCCGCTCTCCCTCTCTCCTATTACCAGCTCTCTGACTTCAGGCAGGGAGAGGAGCCCCAGGGACCCCCGTTTCTCCTGGCTAGTGGTTATGGGGACGACCCTGACCTTGAACGTTAGACCCATCTCAAGGGCAGACGAAACAGAAAGTGAGACCACCACCTCCGAGTACACACAACAGCCCGGCACCTCTGGGTGCAGAGAGGGACATGCCCACCTGGTTGCTATATCCGGGAGACAACTCATTAACCCAGATCAAGACCTGCCGTGGCATAGACAGCCACACCGTGGGATGGCGTCACACGAAGGCATTTGTCCTTCTTGTTACCAAAGGGCTGAGTGGCATGTCAGGGTGCCCAGGACCCCAGGAGTGACGACTGGAGTGAGCACAAAGGCAGGCCTCTCCCCTTCGGCTCGACACACAGGTTTTCCTTCGGGACGGCTTAACCTGTCCCACATCAATACTGCCCTGACCAAAGCTCATGGATCAATTTCTTTCATTGTTGCCGGTGGCCACAGACCTATCGTCTGAGCACAGTGAGGGCAGGGCTGGGGGAGGGGCAGCAGTGTGAAAAAGTGCCTCCCTCCTCCCAGACCCAGGGTGCAGCCACCAAGGTGGCTGAGAAAGGTACGTGTGCATGGGCACGTGCAAGCGTGTACGCACAAGTACGGTTTTGAGACCCTGGCAGCAAGGGGCTAATTTGGCACCTGGAGCCTTTGGGTCTTGGTGGGGAAAGAGGCAGCAGCCCCTCCCCACCTCAAACACTGCAAGCTGCAGGCTCAGGGGCTCGGGCCGTCTTCTGGGCCTCTGAAGTTACAATGCCAGGACACTAGAGTCACGGAGGTCAAGGATGAACTGCTGGCTCTCCGTATTGGCAGGACTGAACCCACGAATGCAGCGAAGGCTTCTATATCTCCACGGGCCACAGCTGGGAGGATTGCTACAGGGAGAGGGTCTATGTCATCATCTGTCCCTGTGGGATGTCCCCACCCAGCTCTGGCAGCCTCAGCGCCACTGCAACGTGCAATTCCTCATGCACAAGTCAAGTTCTCCAGCTGGAGGAACCGGTTCCAGAATTAGAAGGTCTGGCCGGCACGCCAGACAGACCCAGAAGCCACCCGTCCAAATATAACTCTGCACTTGCAGGCCCTTTAGCAGAAAGGCTCCGGCTCACCTGGGCCAGGTAAGGAGCGTTACCGTCAGGCCGTTACCTCCGGTGCGTACCAAGGCCAGAGTCACCCAGGGACCTGGCCGGGGGTTGTGGGTAATCAGAAGCCTCCATGCCCACTGTTTTTCCACTGCCGCCCCTAGCGAAGCGAGGGCGCCTGGTCCCAGGCTCTAGCTCACTGGATCGCCCCAATCGATTCTGGGGTAGAGAGAGCAGATTCCGGCTTCCCAGGGGGAGAAACTGCTTGCCCCCTCCCCAGAGCAGAAGGCCCTCCTAGCTCACGTCTGACTGCAGTCACCTGGGGCGGGGAATTATAAACACAGACATCTGGGCCCCACACCCTAAAAACGCGAGCTTAACTGGTCACAAGTCCAGCCTGGGCCTGGGGGTTCCCCCGGTGACTTTGAAGTGCAGCCAAGAATAAACACTCTTTTCTCAGCTGAAAGCCACCTTGTCAGAAACCCCCAGGTCCCACTGGAGCCCCACAAAGCTTCTTCAGCTTCAGCCAGCTCTCCTCTGTCCCACAGACGCTTGCAAACTCCCTGCCCTCCCCTTCGCGCCCTCCCACTTTCCTTGCGGGAGCTTCCCCCGTGAACTTGGGAACCTGCTCAAAGCATCAGGAGGGGAGGGCCGGGGCCGGGACAGGGAGCCCTGGGATTTGAAGCTGACTGGAAAATTCCAGATAGAGGAGCAGCCTGAGCAAAGACACGGCCAGGATCAAGAGTCTGAAGGGCCGTGGCTCCACCCGGCAGGCGCTAGTGAAGAGGCTGGTGGGGCGGAAGCTGCAGACTGGAGTTCAAGTGCCCCAGGACCACTCTGGACACACTCCCGTGTTACCTGCCGGTGCGCCTCCCGGCAGCCAGTGCAGGCTGGGTTCACAGGAGGCGCTCGATAAGGTCTCACCGCCAAGAACACTCTGAAACGCCACCTCCCGCCTGTGGTCTTGGCTGGGGAGAAAGACCAGTGCGGGGAAGTGAAGTCAGCAGCTCAGAGACCCACTGGCTCTCTGCAAGAGGGGAGGAATTCAGCCTAGAAGGGTGGTTGGTCCTCAGCGCAGTGTCCACACGAACTGTCACCCCCAGTGCGGGTCCCTGCAGGTTCAAAACACGGCTCTCCCACAGCCAGGGGAGGGGGCAGGCGGCCTCGCGCAGCCCTGTGGCTTGGAGACTGCCGTGTTGCCATAACAGAGGCAATTAGCGTGTTCTACCACCCAGCCCCAGCCTGGTGTGGACTCCACGTAACCCAGGCTGGGAATTCCAAGCCTTCAGATGGGGCCAGGAAAAACCGGCCTTGCTAGCTGACTCCACAAGCCCCTGCGAGTTCCCGGGGCAAGGAGAGAGGCAGCAGCCACGTCTTGCTCACCTTCGTTCTTTTGGCAAAGCAGGTAGGAGCCGTCAGTACCCACCCCTTACGTAGGGGCCAGGACCTAAGAGAGGGGAAGGCGGGCACCTCAGAGGGCTGGGGAGGTCTCTAGCCTGCAGATGCAGGACACAGGTTGGCCACAGAGAGGTGCTATGGAGACTCTGCTCACAGGGGCAGGCAGCTTCTCTTCTGAAACCACAAGGCTCTCTCTTCGACCTGTTTGTAGCCCCTGAACTTCCCCCAGACAGGGAAGTCACTGGCAGCTAGAGGACAGTTTTGCAAAGGCCACTGGAGCTCCCAAAGGAGCCCAATCCTTGCTGTGAGCTCTGGTGCCGGCCCCCACGGGCCTGGGCCTGGGTTTACTCATCTGTCAGGGGACTGGTTCCTGGCCCAGTCTGTGCGTTAGAGTCACCTGGGGGAGCGTTGAGAACCCCTCCTCTGGCTTAACTGGGTTTGCGAAGACGTGGTCACCGGCAGTTTTCAAAAACCAAGTCGGGGGAATCTATCAATCCTTTTCAACTCTGACAAGCTAGGCTTCTGAAAGCTGTCGCCTGCAGGTCAGGACGTGCGCTATGAGGAACAGCCTGTTGGCCTTGTTCAGAGCCTGGCCCCGCAGATATGACTGTGACTGGAACCAGGACAGGCCGCCTAAGGCAGGGCTGACCCCAGCTGGGTCCCACCTGGCTGCTCGCCCCGGGGCTCACAGGAAGAAAACACTCTGGCTGGTTCTAGCTGCCCCATTTCCCCTCCTTGCCGCAGCCTCCTGCTTCCAGACAAAGCGACAAAAGCCAACCCCCCACAGGCCATCAGGGCCCCCATACCTTCCCCCCCACCCCCACCCCTGGCCGGTTCGAGCCGCTGTGACGTTATCAGTGTAGTTGCTTTGGCAGAGACCGCCTCCTGGGTGCTGCCTAGTCCTCCGGGGCGGAGAGAGCAGCTGGGATGACACACAGCTGCCAGTCGGAGCCCGCACCCTGGGCCCCTCACCCGTGGCGTGGCCCAGCTGAGTCAGGTGGCAGCCTGCGCCTCAGGTTCCGCCATCCTTGCGGGTGGAGGTGGCCCGTAAACACAGGATGAGCCACGCTTGCGTGCCTCAAGCCTAAGGAACAGGGAGGGATGCCCAGAGGCGGGCTGCTTACCTGCCTCCCCCCCCCTTCAGAGTAACCCTCCACCCCTTGCCTTTTAAGAATCCAAGGGGGAGGGCCCAAGTAGCCAACTGGGTACCTATTTCAGTGTCCCACCAAGGCCTTCAGCTCCTCCATCCCAGTCTTCTGGAGAGCCAGGAGGTTCCCACAGAGAGTCCATGAAGCCTTTTGTTCCGGCCTCTTTACAAAAGGAGCACCCCCCCTTTTCCTTTTCCTCGGGTGGTCCCTCCCGGCTTTTGGTTTCCAAACCCTAACCTGTGTGGGCCCCAGATAAGGCGCCGCAGGGGTTAACAAGGGCTCAGTGTATGTAGACGCACTCTGGAGACAAAGGCTAGTTTACAAACAAGAGCCAAAGGGACTCAACCCGGCTGGTCTCCACCACCCAGCTGGGGGCGGCAGGTGCTCCGGGCCGGGCACGCAGCTCTCAGAACGTCAAGGGCAGCGCTCCAGCGGCCCCCCCAGCCCATCGCGGGGAGGGGGCCGGGCCCTCCGCCCCATGAAGTGGGGGGTGGAGCGCATCCCTTCCCCCAATCCAAGGAACCCTTTTCCCGCGACCTGAGCCTGGAGCCTAAGGGATCCCCCTTTCCCCCCACCCGGAGCTCCGGAGGAGGAGGAGGGGCGCGGAGCCGGAAGGGGAAGGTGGGAGGGCAAGCCCGACGCCCGCTCCGCCTCCGCGAAGGGAATTTAATTAGCCTGCCGGCGAGGCGGGCGGGCGGCCGGGGAGGTGTCTCTGCTGCTGCTGCAATATAATTGAATCGGCTCCACTCGGTCGGGCCCTTCGCCGCCCATCAGCGCCGCCGCCCGCCCGGGAGGGCTGGGGGCGGGGAGGCGCATCCAGGCGGAGCAGGAAGGGCTGGGGAGGGAAGGGAAAAAGGGCAGTGCGAGCGGGGGGCGGCGGATGCGATCACCCTCCCACCTCCGAGGCCGGGCAGCCATCTTCGGAAAGCGAAGGGGCAGGGAACCGCTCCGATGAGGCGGGGAGGAGGGAGGAGGGAGGAGAGAAGTGGCCGGCCCGGGCGCGCCCTAGGGAGGCAGGGCGCGGGGGTCGGAGACCCGGGAGGCTGCAGCCCCGCCCTCCAGGCGGTCTCCCCACTCCGAGGCGAGGGGGAGGGGAGCAAGACAAAAAAAAGCCTAAGCCGCGAGGCCCCAGCGGGTGAACCGCTTCTCCGCTCTCCCGCGCCCCCCCCCGCATCCCCCCACGCGGCTGCCGCCGCCAGCACCTGCCGTGGCCCCCCCCTTGTCCCCTCCCCCGCCGCCGCCGCCACAAAGTTTTCACTCCGGCTCCCGAGCGCCGACAGCTCCCCCAGAGCCCTCGTGGGGCGCCCCCTCCGCCCCGAGGCGCCCCTCACCGAACACGGCGACCCAGCGCGCGCCCCGCGGGGGCCCGTGTCCCCGCCCGGCGCCAGGCCGCCCAGGCTACGACCCGCGGGTGGCGGGGGAGGGGGGCGCTCTGGTCGCCTGCCCGCCCGCTCCCTCTTATCAGGGCTCACACTCCGGGGGAAGTTGCCCGGGAGCCGTTGGCGGCCACCCCCGCGGAACCCGCAAACTTGGAGAGGAGACGCTGGGGGACTTGGGGAAGAAGACGGGAAGACCCCCTCCCGCCCCCCCCCCCTGCGCCCCCGTCCCCTGCCCTGCCCGCCGCTCTCACCTTTCATGCCAGGGCCCCGCCGCTCCGCCTCGGCGGACACATGCTGGAGCCACCGCCGTCCAGTGTTTGTCTAAACTGCTTATCTCACCCGGGGCTGCGCGGCGGCGGCGGCTCGGGCCGCTGGGGAGGGAGGTGGAGCTTCCGGGGCCCCGGCCAAGAAACACCTGCTGCTGCTGCCGCGGCGGCCGCGGAGGACACACCCAGCGCGACGCCGCCCCCTCCGGGCCGCGGGCGGGCTCGCTCCCGGCGCCCTGACCCCGGCGGCGGCGGTGTCGGGTTTCAGCCGCAAACACGCGCGCGCGCGCACCGACGGGCGCCGGGGACACTGGCGCGCGGGCGCACCCCCTCCCCCGCCGGGCCGGCCAGGTGAGCCGAGGACACCGGCGGCAGGTAGGGGAAGTGCCGCCCTCAGGTTCCCGGGGGGCCGCCTGGCTCCACGGCTCAGAGGTGTCCGAGACCAGCCGCTGGGTCCCCAAAGCGGGGCGCAGTCACTTCCAACAAGCCCGCCACGGGAGCAGCGCCCTCGCGTGCCTGGTGACCGCTTCCCCGGTGCCCAGAGCAGTGCCTGGCGCAATGGGCGATCGGGCAAACTCACATGCTCTGGAGAGCGACTTTCGGGGCGTGTTGGCAGGGGGAGGGGCACGAGATAGGCTGTGTGCATGTATCCCTCCGACCCCCCCCCCAAATGCGTGACCTTGTTGCCCCACCATGAAAGGGTTGAATGTTAAGAACTTGGCCTTTGCACCTTCCTCCCAAAATTCTAGGCACTAGCCCCTCTCCTGTGTGTGTGTGTGTGTGTGTGTGTGTGTGTGTTTAATCCTTTTTTAATCCTCACCCGACTGTATTTTTTTCCATTGATTTCTAGAGAAAGTGGAAGTGAGGGAGGAGGGGGAGTGAGAACAACACATCGGGGCTGGGGAACCCACGAGGAACGCGCCCTTGCCCGGGAATCGAACCCGCGGGGGTCCACGCTCTAACCATTGAACAACCGGCCCGCCCCCCGCCTCCCTCCTCTTTAAGTAACTTTTGGGAAGGCCACAATGTCCTCCTCGCGGCCGGAGAGTCCCCGGAGGAGGCGCCGCTCAGCCAGAGAGATCATTAAGTAGCTGGGGTTGCGGTCAGAGGCGAGGCCGCCCGCCTCCAGAAACTGGCAAGGCCCAATGGGCCTGCGGCCGCGGCGCAGCGCCTCCCTGCTCCTGGCACCCCCGCACCCTACCTCACCCAGGCACTTGACGGACTGGAATGACTCAGGGAGCGTCTTGGCATTCCTAGGCACCCACGGGCGGCACAGCGGGTGACGGCGGGCCCCGGCCTCCCCGTCCCTCCCCGGCCTCGCCCCGCCCCCCTCACACACCCCTCCCCCGCTGGCCAGTGCCGCGGGGGAGCCAGGAGCCAGGGCCCACCCCCCCCCCCCCCCCGCCTCCCGCCCCCCGCGTCTCCAGGAAGCTCCTGGTTCATGCCGCAGGCTTCCTGCAGAGACAAACCCGACCTCGGCGTGTTCCAGCGCCCCGGGCCCTGACCCTGAGCGCGGCCAAAGCTCTCGGCGAGGCCTCGATGCCCCCGGGTCTCCTCCTCGCACAGCCTCCTTTGAAAACCCTCTCTAATCTACAGCTTGCATGCATGCTTCTAAGCGGGGAGACAAACAAGCACACCCCCGCCCCCCCAAGCGGCAGCCCAAGCGCCGCGCTGCGGGTTTCAACTTTCCGCGCCTGGTGCCAGCCCGCGCTCCTGCCAGCCCCAAACCTGCCCCGGGACATGCCCGCGCCGCGCTTGGCAGGAGCTCACGCTGCCGTCCCCGCGGGCCCAGCCACCCCCGCTCTCCGCCCGCCCTCCCTCCCTCCCTCCGCCTCCCCGCGCCAGCCCGGACTGCGAGGGGAGGGAGGGAGCGCTGGGCGCCTGCCACCCCCGATCCATCTGTTCCCGGGGACGCTGGCGGGCCTGGAGCACTGGGGCCCACGCCAGCGCGGTGCAGAACCCGCCGGGGTGCCCTCTAGGGGTCGAGGGGCGCCCCCAAGCCGCCCATTGTCCTGGCCCCCACCTTATACCGAGTGCATGCTGGGGCACTTGGGAGTGGGGGCGCACACGGCCGGACTCCCGCCTTGCAAAAGGCTCCTGGCCGACCACAAACGAAAAGGGAAACGGACTCGGGGGGCCGTTACTAGCTCCTACCTGCGGGCTCCAGCCATTCCTGGCAGGGCGCGGGGAGAGCGCCTCCCCGTCACCACCCACCTCGCTCTGTTGGGTCTTGGCCTCCTCTGGATGCTTCTATGTACCCATAGCGCGGCCTCCTGTAATTCATACCCTGCCGAGGCCGGCAGATTCACTGCGGCCTGGGGGAGGGGGGGAGTCAAGGGGGGGGGGGGTTGGAGGGGATGGAGTGGGAGAGGCTGGGAGGAAGACTTTGGGAGGCAATTCCAACTGCTAGCCTAGGGCCTTAAAAACAAAATATAAAACCCCATGGGTCGCTTCCAATCCTCTCCTACCAGGACTGCAGCCCGCGGGGGGAGGGGAGTAACATGCAAATGAACAGCTCACACCTGGCCCGGTGTTTCCTCTTCGCCTGGTCCCCAGATCAGAACACCCTGCCTAGGCCCAACCTCCCCTCCCCTGGACAGGATGCTCCCACTTATTTCCTTTCATCCCCGGGGAGGCCTCGGTAGGGAGAGGAGTCGATTCTCCCACCTGTTTGAGGATGACCACACTGGCCACACAAATTTGTGGGAAGGGGACCACTGTGGGTTACATCATTTAGCTAATTTCTGGGGTTTGGCAGATCCCTCCCTTCCCCGTAGACATCTGGTTCCACGGGACTGAGAGACGGGTGGTCGGATCCCTCGGATCCCGTTTCACAGATGAGGAAATGAGGGCTCAGAGTTGCTCAAGGTCACGTGCGCTGTCTGTGCCTGGAGCTGCTATCACCTGGAGTCTCCCCTACCCAGCACAGCCGACAGAGGCAGTGGGATGCTGCAGGAACCCCAAACGACCGCTAGAGGGAAGTAGCGAGCCGGGTGTGCGCGCCTTGCCCAGAAAATGCTGGCGGCCACCGGCTGGCTGGCACAAGGGGAGATGGATGACACTCACTGTCTGTGCGCCAGGCCCAAGGAAATTAGTAATCCCGGAGCACGGCCTCCAAGTTCAAGGGTGGGAACTGCTCCCCTGCAGTCGCACGCTCCTTGCTAACGAGGTTTGTAGCTTGACTCCTAATTTCCCTCTACCGGGGGCTCAGGCTGGCTGCCCTCCATTTCTCTGTAGGCATGTTCCTTCTCCTCTCTCCTCAGCAGTTCCCACCTTGCAGCCAGCCCTGAGTCCTTTCTGGGCAAAGCACTCCCTCCTGCACCTTCTCCCTCATTTCCATTTGCCTGCAAATCTGACAGAGCAACAAGGTTTTAAATGAAAGGGCAAGGTGCTGGGGGGGGGGGGGCAGTCATACCAGGGGCTGTGGGGACATCTCCAGGAGCAGGGACACCTGTTTACCAGGGTCCTGCTTCCTCTGTGCCAGGGGCAACAGGATGCTGTGCCTGCTTTCCCAAACCCCAGACCCCTACCACCCTGAACGGTGCCTCCAAGAGCAGTCCAAAGGCCCTCACCTGGCCCTAAGCACCTACTCAGCTGGACCCCTGCAAAATCCAGCCCCGCCTCCACAAGCCCTGGGACCTGGGAAACCTACAAGTCCTAAAGGATGAGAAAGCCCTCCGGATAAGCTCCAGGAGCCCCCTCACACCTGCCCCCTTAGGCTGGGAACTGAAAAAGGGGCCTCTGGCATGGATGCCCAGAAAGGATCTGATGAGGGAGGCCTGCCACCAAGACGGAAGGCATGTAGTTTGCTCAACTATTGTGGACTCCGTTGGCACCAGCCTTCCCAGATACAGAACGAGAAGTGCCAGGTTGGCCTCCAGATGCCCAAAAAGCCTAGGGCAACAGACACGAGCAGGAGGTGCTGACAGGCGGGGCACTTAGAGGCAGCAAGAAGGACAGAAAGGTGATTTGGCAACTTAACCCATCGCCACCACCACCACCCCCTGGGCCCCTACCTAACCAGGAAAGGCTCCTAGCAGAGTAGACACTCTCTGTGTCTGTGTCCCCCACCGAGTCCCAGTGCGGGTGGACGGGCCCTGGACACCAGGGAAGGGAGTCCCGCAGTCCTGCTCTTTATCCTCCTGCGTCCCTTTGGGGTTAGCAGGACTCACCATCTGTTCCCCACCCTCCCTAGCTGTTCCCAGCACCCAACGCCTGCATGTCACCTTTACACCACGGCCTCAGCCCCTTCCTTCAGCACCTGGACCTGGACTCCAGGAAGGGGAGGAAGGGAAGCTCACTTCTGCCATTTCCCAAACATCGGGCATGTGCCCAGGCTCTTCACTTCCGGCCACTGAATCCTCAGAGGCCCTGCCAGGTAACCGGCATGCCCTCCATTACAAAACCCAGCGAGGAGACCTGAAAAGGGTAATTTGCCCAGGACACACACACTCGCGCCATGCCTGACCCAGGCCCTGACTATCCACCCATACCAGGCAGCGCCTTTTACCGACCTGCTGCAGGCAGACCTGGCAGGGGCGTTACTGGTCTCAAAGCATTTTCAGGGCTAAGACCCTCAGCAGCTGCCCTGGATGTGTCCGAAAATCATTCTCCCATTCTGGGGGATTGTGGGGATCCATCCCTCAGAGCCTGGCACCCCCACCTTTGCACAGCTTCTCTCTGTGAGTGGTCCACCCACTCCTAGGCTGCAAGCCCCACCCAGGGGAGCCACATCCAAAGGGTAACCCCCCACCCCCGGGGTCCCAAGAGCTGAGTGGCAGGGGATCTGCCCAGTGCCCTCCTTCCCCCACCACTTATAATATATTCCCGGGTCCCCGTTCTCTTGCCAGCAGCTATCACTGGCCCAGAAATCCTCTCCATTCTTCAAAGCGGGGCTTACATCTTATCTCTTCCGAGGAGGCTTTTCCCATCCCGCCTCTGGAACTCATCTCCTCCAGCTGCGGAGTCCCACTCTCAGATAGCGATCACACGGTGCAGTGGGTCCCACGGGTCTTAGATAATGGCGCGCATGTGAAACAGACTCCCAGGCCGCCCTGCTGAGCTACTGTCTGGGTTCAACAAGCTGTTCGGGGGCGTATCCAGGCCTCACTGTGACTGCTGGAGCCCCAGGGAGTTTATAGTGGGTGCTCTGGTCTCATGGCCCGGACACAGCCCAGCCACC